TGTCGCCTTTTTCGAGGGTTGTTGGCGGGTCCTGCGGAATGAGGCGCCGCGCGGATCCGAGCGGGACCTCGCCGTTCTTGGGGGGCTGCGGTCTGCGAAAGTGTTTCCGTTTTCGAGGGCTGCTGGTGGGTCCTGCGGAGTGAGGCACCGCGCGGACTTGATCGGGGCCTCGCCGTGGGTGGGTGGCTGCGATCTGCGAAATGGTCGCCACTTTCGAGGGCTGCTGGTGCGTCCTGCTGAGTGAGGCTCCGCGCGGACCTGAGCGGGACCTCGCCGTCCCTGGGGGGCTGCGATCTGCGAAACTATCGCCGGTTCCGAGAGCTGTTGGTGGGTCCTGCGGGGTGAGGCACCGCGCAGACCTGGGCGTGACATCGCCGTCCCTGGGGCGCTGCGATCTGCGAAATTGTCGCCAAGTTCGAGGGCTGCTGGCGGGTCTTGCGGAGTGAGGCACCGCGCAGATCTGAGCGGGGTCTCTCTGTCCTTGAGGAGCTGCTGTCTGCGAAACTGTCGCCGCTTTCGAGGGCTGCTGATGGGTCCTGCGGAGTGAGGCACCGCGCGGACCTGAGCGGGGCCTCGCCGTCCCTGGGGCGTTGCGATCTGCGAAATTGTCGCCGCTTTCGAGGGCTGCTGGTGGGTCCTGCGGAGTGAGGCACCGCGCGGACCTGAGCGGGACCTCGCCGTCCCTGGGGTGCTGCGGTCTGCGAAACTGTCGCCGCGATCGAGGGCTGCTGGTGGGTCCTGCGGACTGAGGCGCCGCGCGGACCTGAGCGGAACCTCGCCGTCCCTGGGGGGCTGCGATCTGCGAAACAGTCGCCACTTTCGAGGGCTGCTGGTGGGTCCAGCGGAGTGAGGCACCGCGCTTATTTGAGCGGGACCTCGCCGTCCCTGAGAGGCTGAGATCTGCGAAACAGTCGCCGTTTTCGAGCGCTGCTGGTGGGTCCTGCGGAGTGAGGCGCCGCGCGGATCCGAGCGGGACCTCGCCGTCCTTGGGGGGCTGCGATTTGCGAAACAGTCGTTACTTTCGAGGGCTGCTGGTGGGTCCTGTTGAGTGAGGCACCGCGCGGACCTGAGCGGGACCTCGCCGTCCCTGGGGGGCTGCGATCTGCGAAACCGTCGCAATTTTCGAGGGCTGCTGGTGGGTCCTGCGGAGTGAGGCACCGCGCGGATCTGAGCGGAACCTCGCCGTCCCTGGGGGGCTGCGATCTGCGAAACAGTCGCCACTTTCGAGGGCTGCTGGTGGGTCCTGCGGAGTTAGGCGCCGCGCGGATCTGAGCGGGACCTCGCCGTCCCTGGGGCGCTGCGATCTGCGAAATTGTCGCCATGTTCGAGGGCTGCTTGGGGGGCCAGCATTGCGATCTGCGGAATTGTCGCCACTTTCGAAGGTTGCTGGCGGGTCCAGCGGAGTGAGGCACTGCGCAGATCTGAGCGAGACCTCGCCGTCCCTGGGGGGCTGCGATCTGCGAAATTGTCGCCAAGTTCGAGGGCTGCTGGTGGGTCCAGCGGAGTGAGGCACCGCGCGGACCTGAGCGGGGTCTCGCCGTCTTTGGGGGGGGGCTGCGATCTGCGAAATTGTCGCCACTTTCGAGGGCTGCTGGTGGGTCCTGCGGAGTGAGGCACCGCGCAGATTTGAGCGGGACCTCGCTGTGCCTGGGGGGCTGCGATTTGCGAAATTGTCCCCATTGTCGAGGGCTGCTGGTGGGTCCAGCGGAGTGAGGCACCGCGCAGATCTGAGCGGGGCGTCGCCGTCTTTGGGGGGCTGCGATCTGCGAAACCGTCGCGACTTTCGAGGGCTGGTGGCGGGTTCAGCGGAGCGAGGCACCAGGCAGATCTGAGCGAGACATCGCAATCCCCGGGGGGCTGCGAGCCTCACGAATGCCGCTCGCAGAAGTACATGCGCCCATGTCACGTCATCACCTCCGTATAACGTCTCCCAAGCTACTCATGCCCCGCATTGCGCAGGGGTTGGGTACGTCGCCAATGTATTTTTTTAGAATGGATAGGACACGACCATCCTTTTAGGGCCCCCAAGCGATGTTCATTCCGTCCCATTTCTGCTTCATGTTTCGCAACTCGACGACATATTGGCGAGAACAAATGAGTTTGAGTTGTTGTTTGTCAGTTAGGACGGCCGGGTTTCTATTGGCCGGCTAGGTGGGGGTTCGGAGGTGTTTAATCATAAGAAGTAAGGATTAGGGTTAGGGGCTAGGGTAGGGGTTAGGGTTAGAGTGACGGGTTAGGGTGAGGGGTCAGGGTAGGGTTACTGTTCAGGTTCGGGTTTTGACTTCGGGATAGGATATAGGGTTTAGACAGAAAGGTTAGGGCTATGGGGTTCGGGCCAAGGGTCAGGGTCGGAGGCAGGGTTAGGGTTATGGATTGGGATTAGGGGTTGGGGTCGGGGGTTGGGGGGTTGAGGCCGGTGTCAGGGTAGGGGTTAAGGTTCGGGTTTAGAGTTTCGGGTCAAGGCTAGGCTTTCGGGTTCGGGGTCACTGTTGCGGTTTAGGGTTATGGTTTTGGGAGGGAGGATAAGGGGTAAGGTAGGGATAGGGTTTGGGTGGAGTTAGGGTAAGGGGTTGTGGTTAGGGGAAGGGGTTAGGGTAAGGGGTTAAATATAAGGGTTACAGCAGGTTTGTTGGGGTTTAGGGGATAGGGTAGGGGGTTAGGGGTAGGGTTAGGGCAGGGGTTAGGGTTACGGTTGGGGTTAGGGTTTAGGGTTCGGGTGAGGAGTTAGGGTTAAGGATCAGGGTAGGGGTTGGGGATTAGGGTAGGGGTTAGGGTTAGGGTTAAGGTGTAGGGTTTGTGTGTCAGGGCTGGGGTGTCAGGGTTCGGGTTTGGGGATTGAGGTAGTCGGGTTTTTGAATGGGGGAAAGGGGGGGGGGGTCTGGGACGACGGATCGGGAAAGGGGACGGGGGGGGGTCGGCCGACGACGGGCCAGGGAAAGGGGGGGAGGGGTTTGGGGGGGTTGGTTCGGACCCCCCCTCCTCTGGGGCATACAGCGGCGCGCCCTCGACATACACCGGTCCAAGGCCCACGATCGGCCTAGTCAGGATCGATGAGGTGGTCAGTAAACGTTTCCCGATCTAGAGTGGGCCCCTGCCCACAGCTACGGCTTAATTCGGCCAATCCGATTGGGCAGTTGATTCGGTCCGTCTCCTGATGCTGGGTTGAAACGCGTGGGGCGTGGGCGCTCTCTTGTTCCCCAGGCGTGCTGCATCGCGAAGCAGGCTTCCGCTAACAAAATCACCGCAGGATCTCCCGACCAGAATTTGACGCGGTGTTCCCAACCCCGATGGATTTGCGAGGGTCCCTCGGGGTCCGATTTATGAATGAACCCGCGTGTCCGCCGGCAAATGTGCAATAGCCCGAGCGCCCTGCGCTGCAACATCCAACTGCGTGCTGCAGCTTCCCAGGCTTCCGCCAGGAACGTGCCCACACATGCAGCGACCTTCAGTCCGTAACGCCGCCGTGCCTGGTTCGTGGGTCAGAGGCGCGTTCGAGCCTTTCAGGTTTTCATGGAATGATTCTCGGGGGCCTCTTGGGGACTTCTCCGGGGCGTTTTGAGACCTGACACCAGCTCCTTTTCGCTTGGCTTCCTCCTTCTTCTCCTCTTGCGTGTCCCAAAACGGCGCGGTAACCTCGAAAATGGCAAACGACCTCACTGCCAGGTGGGAGACAGGGGGGGAGGAGGAGGAGGAGCAGGAGGAGCAGGAGGAGGAGGAGGAAGAGGAGGAGGAGAACCAGTGCAAGCCCAAGACTCATCAACGGTGTTGGAATACACCCTCCTTCCAAGCTCCCTCGTCATGAACCCCTAGAAGTGTATATTTCCACTGAGAGAAGTGCGCTTCTGGGGAGCAACCGTGTGAAAATCTCGACGCGCGCTTGAAAACCATTCTCAGGACTTCAATGCCACGAGTCAACCTGACTGTTGCGTCTTGACGATCCTGAACCGTGCCAGACCACCACTCTTGGGAATGCAACGTCGCGAATCGATGTAACTGTTGCGCCCTGACAGCCCAAAACCTTCCAAAACGCAATGTCTGAAATGTTAGCCATGATATTCACTTGTTTGAAACGAATGTGTGCGGCGCTAAGGCGGGAACAGCATTATGAAAACGAACCGCCCTCAAGCCGTGAAGCTGTTGCACACAAAGGAAATGTTTAAAGCGAATGTGCGCGGCGCTGAGGCGAGAGCCGCATTTCGAAAACGACCTGTCTTCAACTCGCGAAGCTCTTGCAAGTGTTCAGGACGAATGTGCGTGGCGCTACGGCGGGAGCCACATTTGAAAACCACCTGTCCTCAATCCGTGAAGCTCTTGTAGTGTTTTAGAACTAGTGTGCGCGGCGCTTAGGTGAGAGTCACATTTTGAACACGAACCGCCCTCCATCTGCGAAACTGTTACCAGCTTTTAAGCTGCAGGCTCATCAATTGTAAGGAAGTCTCACGCGAAACGCCCGGCCCGCCCTTCCGACTGGCCTCGGGATGCGACAGGGATGAGTTATTCATAAGGAAAAGGAATGGAAAAGGAGGAGAGATTAGGGGGGGAGGGAGGAGGAGGTGGAGTAGAAGTTTGAGGAGCAAAACGAGCACGAGGAGCGGGGATCAGGAGAGGCATCAGGAGGATGACGAGGACGAGGTGCAGCATGAGTTACTGGTTCAAGGAAGATGCCGAGGAATGATAACGGAGGAGGAGGAGGAGGGAAAGGAAAGGACGGTGGAATCTGGGAGGCCCACTGTGCACGGCTGGATTTCCTCTTTGAAGTTCCTGTCAAAATGCACCTCAGGAGAGATCCGGAGAGCCGATGTTGAAAGCAAGGTGGAGGAAGAGAAGTAGCAGGAGGAGGGAGGAAGGAGGTCGAGATGCCGGCGGGGGAGGAGGAGCAAGGGGAAATATGAGGGAGGTGGAGTCCAGGAGGAGGAGGAGAAGGACGAGGAGGAGGATGGAGAGTTTCTGCGTCTTCGCTGGAGACCCGCATGCTCCCGAGGCTTCCCTTCAGACCCCAGGTACCGCGTAAGGATCGGCGACGACGGGTTTCACATGTTCAACATCCTGGTCGACAACGATCCTGAGCAGCAGCTGTACCCCCACATCGAGATGGCCCAGATCGGGGAGGGAGCTTTGTGTGGCCCCGACAGCTTCGGCTCCAGCCTTAGCTGGCTTATTCAGGGCGCGCCGGACCAGCTGTTCGACATAGTCTTGGACACCAGCGAGACAGACAGGTGCACCCTTCCCACTCGCTCTTCCTGCGATGTGTGCGCGCGTGCGCGTGTGTGTGTGTGTTGATGTGTGTGTGTGTGTGTGTGTCAGGTTCTCCGACTGCCTTCGCCTTGTCGTTGCGCACGTGGCCGCGACGCCAAAGCAGTGTGTGTGTGTGTTTATGTGTGGTGTGTGTATGGTGTTGCTGTGTGTGTGTGTGTGTGTGCGTGTGTGTGTGTGCGTGTGAGTCTGTGTGTGTGTGAGTATGTGTGAGTGTGTATGCACGCGCGTGCGTTTCTTGGTGGCTGCGTGAGGGTGTCCGGCGCGTTTTCTCCTGCCCTGTCTGCCTGACTCGGCCGCGTCACTGCGCGCGCTGCCGCGACACCAGCATATAATTGTTTATACGTAGATGATATATAGCTGCTTAAATCCACGTATGTAATTTATGTATTCGTACATGGCATGCAGGTGGGTATGTGCACGGGTGTGCGTGTGTGCGTGCGTGTGTTTGTGTGTGAGCGTGTGTGTGTGTGTGTGTGTGTGTGTGTGTGTGTGTGCGCGTGTGTGTGTGTGTGTGTGGACACTCGTGCATGTGCGTATTGCTTGCGCTACATCGCGTGCAATGCCGGCCTCTATCGTGAAGGATCGTGTCAGAGGGCTCAGCCGAGAGGGTGGCCTCCCGACCTCGTGCCAAGAGGTGTGGGCGACGGCAGAGCAGCGCAAGGCGAGCCTGGAGCCTGCTTGGGGCTCTAGGACTGCGCTCGAGGCCCTTTCGGACGTCTTGGCAGCCTCGCGGGCCCCTCCCAGACCATCTTCAGCCGAGAGCTTCGCGGAGCTTGTGGGGCCGCTCTGGCCTTCTGGGCGATTCCTGGAGCCGGCGGAATTTTAGATTCCCGCCCTGTGCATATCACCCTCATTGTTGTTGTTGTTGTTGTTGTTGTTGCCGTCGTCGCTGTCGTCGTCGTCGTCATCACTTCTTCCTCGCCGCATGGCGCTTCACATTCTTTGGGCAGCTCCATGCACGCTGCGCACTATGGAAACGTGCCTCGGAAGCCCTCGCGCCTTCTGATACGTTTTTTGCGTCTTCGGGGAGGCTCGGGGAACTCAGAAGCCCGCGTAACTTCCGAGCCTTCTGAGAAGGCTCTCCCCTTCTCGCCTTTCCCCTGGGCGCGCCGCCTAGAGAAGGCCTGCCCCCTCACTTTCCCCCTGGGCTCGCGCCGACATCCATTCTGGGTTCCGACAGCGCTCCAGAGGCCGAACTCGAGGAAGGAACGCTGGGATTTGACGAAACCCTGTCGTCGGAGAGATCTGGGCGCGGAGTTGCCCTGCGGGACGGACGTCCGGCCGTCGTTCCGCTCCGCCCCGTCGTTCGGGGATCGCTCCTCGTCCCCCCAAGTGATGATTTCGGGGACGGGGAGGCGCCGGGCGCTGGCGCGGTGACGTCTACCAGGCCTGAGGCGGGCGTGGCAGGTTGACCCGCCGCCTTGGCGGCGGTCATCGAGGTGTCCTCGCGGCGCGAGGCCAGGAGTGTGGAGGTCGAGCCAGCGTTTTTCGTTTCGGCCGAGGTCTGGGCGGCAGCAGCCCCATTCGAGGCTCGAGTCTTGGCACTGCTCCACGGCGGTGGGCGAGCTCGAGTCGCACCGCATGGTGCAGCACGCGGGGCACGGGGTGGTCGGCCGCATGTTTGCAGAATGGGTATCCAAGCCGGCAGTGGTGCTGCCAGATGCCAGCGGGTGCCACGATGCGGTGGCGTGGCGCCCGCGCTCATGTCGGGCCAATGGCTACGACCTCACGGGCGCCAGGCTGCGGGCGGCCCTTGGGCGCGCCCACCTCACGTTCCAGGCGTCAGAGCACTTGGGCGTCAGCCTTGCGCTCCTGCGGCAGTTTTCGCTGCTCGCGGCAGCGGCGAGGCGGAGGAGCTGCGGCAGCGTTGCTTCGCCAGGCTACCGCGCGAGGAGGGGCACATAGTAGAATTCGCCGAGCATTTCAACCGCGGGGTCAGCGCGGAGTTGAACGAGGCTGGGTCCCTCGTGATGAGGGGTGCCCACGGGGTCTTGTGAGCGAGCTGGAGGTGCTGATGGGGGTCACCAAGCGCTTCTCCCCCACGAGCCGCCTGCTGGCGAAGAACCGCCGCGACTTCGGGGTGTGGGCTCGCAAAATGTGGAAGCAGAGCCCAGGCGCCCGCCATCGGCAAATTCGTGGTCCTGGCCCCTGGTCCTGAGGCGGCGGTGCCGGTGGTGGATGGCCGGGCCGTCGCAGAGCCTGGCCATCCACCACCGGCAGCGCTGGGTCAGCCTCTGGCGCGCGTCACCTGGCTTCGTGGACGACCTGTTGGCAGCCCTTCAGGCCGTGCACCTCCGCCGTACGAGCAAGGGGGGATCCGCTTCCCGAGCTGGAACTCGAGTGCTTGGATGTCAGGGGTCGATGGTCTCTGGTCGACCGACCCAGCGCGGCTGCTCCCTCAGAGGCGCGAGGGGCTGCGTCAGCTGCCGGTGGAGCGCAGGCGGCGCGGCTGCTGGTCCAGGCAGCTAGTGGGCGTCACCTGCGCCACGCTGCCCAAGAAAGTACGCGGGCGGGGAACGCATCGTCGGCACGCTGCCGCTGCCGCCGAAAGTGCGGTCGCAGGCGCGGTCGTCCGCCGCGCCGTTCTGGATAGGAGGCCTCGGCGCCATGTGGGGCTCGGCCGCGAGGGGCCCTGGCGTCATGCGCGCGGCGCCGCTGCGTTCGGTCGCGGCCGAGACGGTCGCGGAGCTGGGAGTGGCGGTTTCCGCCTTCATCGGGGGCGCGGGAACTCCCCGCGGTTTGGTTTCGCTGGTCAAGCCGAAAGCCATCGAGGTTCGACTGCCCTGCGGCGGTGGTCGGCCCGAAGGTACAGCTGTTCTTTGCGCCCCGCTTTTGCGGGAATGTCATCGTGGGTTGCCCGTGGCCGTCGGCGAGTCGGTTGGTGGCGGTGGGCCTCGGCCGCTGCGCGTCGCCGCGGAACCTGCATCTCCGCCCGCCCTTGCCGAGGGCGCGCGCGCGCAGTGCCTTCGAGCGGTGCTGTGGAGCTTCATCGATGATGCCGCAACTAGCGTCGAGGGCCCTCCCGCGTCGCGGAGCGGGCCGAGCCGCCGCGGGTCGCGAGCGTCGCCCAGCGCGGCCAGGGCGAGCAGGCACCGATCTCCTCTTGCAAGACGAAGTTCTTGGTGACGGACGCGGGGCTGGCCGGCGAGGCGCAGCTGGGCGCGCCGTTCCAGGCAGTGCCATCGGCGGTCGACATCGGCATCAGCGCGTCGGCGGGCAGGCGACGACAGCGCGGGGGGTTATCGGCGTAGGCGCAAGGTTGCGCGTGGCGCTAACGGCGCGCCATGCGCCTGCGCCGGGCGATGGCGCTGGCCAAAGAGCGCCGCGTCCTCTGATCGGCGGGGGCTCCCTCGGGCCGTCTACGGGCGCCGGCGCGCCGGACTTGCCCTGGGCCGCGCCTTAGCGTTGCGGCGGCAGGCTGCCTGAGCGGCGAGCGGCGCCGCCAACTGGAGGCGTCGGACTCGGTCTTGGCAGCGACGACGGGCGCCGCGGACCCGCGCGCGGCGCTGCGCGAGCAGGTCGCAGGGCCGCGGCGCGGCCCGCTGCTCTCGGCGCCCCAGCTCCATGGGCGCATTCCGAGGGCGCGGCCGCGCGTGCGAAGCGGCGGCACGCCGATGGCAAAGCGTCCGGAGGCCGTTCGGCGCGCTGGGCGGGTCGCCCATCTCCGCCGCGCGGTGGATTCTCGAGCCGCGCCTGGGGGCCAGAGCGAATGGTTCTGGCCCGACGCCGACGACCCCAAGTTTCGGGATTGCGCGGAGTGCCAGCCAGCGCGCGCTGGGCGACGCGGGCGCAGATTTTCGGTTCAGGTTTTGGCGCGGAGGCAGGCCTCGGCGCGCGAGGCGGGCGGGCAGTTGCTGGAGTGCGCCGGGTTTTGGCAGATCGCGCGCGGGGTGCGGCGCGCGGGGGCCCGGGGCTCGCTGTCAGCTGCCGGAGTTGGGGCCGGGCTTCTCGGCGGTGGCCAGCGGGCAGCGGTCCGGGGCTCGCGGGTCGGAGGCGGGCGACGCGCTGGCGAGGTCTGCGGGCGACGCGGGCAAGGCCGCGAGACCCCAGCGCACGGGATATGATATGGCTGTGCCCAGCCAGTGTGGAGCGATGCGTTCGCGAGGTCGGGCGGGCCCCCCCCGCGGGCGTTCGCGGCGTCGCGATCGCGAAGCGGGGCTCCGAGGGTGCTTGTAGCCAGCGCGGGGCGGAGCAGCGCCGCTGGCCGGTCGACGCCAGACGGCGCCCCTCGCGGAGATCTTCGCGCTCGCGCTCGCGCTCGATGAGACGGCGGTCAATTTGCGACACATGGCGGACAGCGAAGAGCTGTTGCGCGCGCGGCGCGTTTGGCCAGCGCGCGACGGCCGGGCGGAGCTCGCGAAGGGGGCGCTGCGGCATCGGGCGCGGGCCGCATCTGCGGCGCGAGGTTCCGGCGCGGCGCAGATGGAGAGGCAGCGTCGCAGGCGGAGGAGCGCGTCCGCCCGCTCACTTCTGGGCGAGCCTCCATCCCGGCGCCAGATAGCGCCTCGGCGGGCGCGCGGGCAGGGCTCGCCGCGGGGGGCCGGGCGAGGCCCGTCGGCGCCGGCCGCGCGCCGACGAGATCGACGCGATCGCGTCGTCGGCGCCTCGGAGGGCGAGAGGCGCCAGGGTCGGCGAGCGCAGCAGGCGCGGGGGGGGGCGAGCGGCGAGCGAGCGGCGGGCCCTCGGCGCCCAGCCCGCGCCCCAGCTCGGAACGCGTCGCCCGCTGTCGCCGCGCAAACGCATGCGTGCGCGAAGTTTTTTTGGTTCTGGCACGCAGTGCCTCGACGCAGGCGCGCGCGCCCCGGTCGCTGGCGTCTGGAGCGCATGCGGGTCGACGTCGCTTCGCTTTCGTCGCCCTCCCGTTCGCCCCCTGTTCGCCCTGATCCCCCCTCCGGGTCGGGTGCGTTCGCGGGGCAGGCTGGAAAATGCCGCCCCCCCCCACCCTTCGCTCGCCCCCGCG